TGGCAAGAACTTGGCATCAGGAAGCCTGTCAAGAGGAAGGTTCAAATCCTATCATCTGGTCCTCACTCCATCCTTCAAAGACATGAGGCCCAGCAGGCTAGAGTCCATGATGAAGAGAAACTGGGGCTCAGGACTGGCTCCCTGTTTTGTCAGTCTGCCTGTCTATGTATTAAGCATTGTCCTAAATGCCCCACATATGACTTCACTTAATCCTCATAACCACTATCTAAGTAAGGCATTATATGAGCCCCATTTTATTCATTTAAGTGTCTTTAGAGACCTAAGGTAAGGTGAGGCCGGACTTTGTAAGCCAGACCCACCCAGGTAGGGAGCCATAGTCCTTAACCATCAAAAACAGCTCTCCAAATATTGGTCTTATGTTTCAGAAGCCTCTTGTTCCTCTCTCATGGCCCCATAAAACTAGCCTACAGCTTTTGTACTTTTTTGTCCGAAGCCCTAAATACCCTTACACACTGTCTCCTATCTCACCACCTGCCATGGACCTCGGCTGTACTTTCGCCTCTTATGTCTACTCAAGGAGAACGGGTTTTATTTCAGGAAAGTCACAGCGCTGGATGAGCAGGGAGCAGATGGCACGGGTGACATACCACCATGCCCTTTTCACTCAGAGAGGCATAAAGTGCCCCACGTGAATGGCCCGGTGATAGGGCAGGTCTCCCCTTTGGATATGCACATGAGGTCCTGACAGAAACCAGTGACCACAGCGGGGATGCCTGAGCTGGAGACCTTGGATTTGATGGCAACATTCTGACCTTCCAGGTGTCCAGCTGCTCCAGGCTTTGCATTGGATAGATGAAGAAAACAAGGCTCAGAGGATTTGAAAATAACTCACACCGGGAGACAGCGTTGGTCTACGTGGGACTAGCAGAACCTCCAGGTCTGCACAGTGATCCTTTGGGGCCACTGCTCTGCATTCCATCTCTTGACATTTGCTTCTCTTGTCCATCAGATGGAGGCACCAAACGGTGCGAGCAGCTCTTCCGAGTCTTTCACAGAAACTATTTATTCCCACTTGGTGAATTTGCTTTACTTCCCTCTCCCATGCGTGTTGTCAGAATGTCTAGAAAAATCTGACAGCTGGTATTCCATTTAGGGACAACACTTGGGGGATGTGTCTTGAAAGGGCTCACACGTAGCTCTTGGTGCACTTCTACTCAACTTCCAAATATAATGTGATTTTACTGATGATGAAAGGGGAAAGGAGAGAGGATGAGGAAGTGCCATTATGGAGAGGAGGCTGGGAAATGCCTAAGCTGGGCAAGGGGCCCAGGCCAGGATGGAGAGCCCACAGCAGGGCTTTGTCAGACAGACTCAGCTTTGCATCCTCCCTCTCTATTTCACTTTGGACAAACTATTCCATCTCACTGAAGCTCAGCTTCCTCATCTGTAACAGCTGCACAGAACTTATCTCAGAGCCTGTCAACAGGCCAGATCAATTTGTTAACGAATGACCAACTCCTGGCAGGCACACTGGACGTTTTTCTCCCATCTATTTCCTCCTAGACGGTGACAATATGGATTAAGAGTAAACATATTGGAGGCAAGTACTACCAAGCTTAATATATAGTATAATTTATCATAAGAACACTTAATAAGGATTGGGTGACAGGTAAACAGATGACTCAACTCTAAGACCGTTCAATTCTATGTATGCCAGTGACTGGAATCAAATCATAAAATATGAATTTGTCTCTTGGTGTCACTGGGCTTATGTTCTCCAAAAACAAAATGCCTGACGATTACCGCTCAAACTGAAGCAAAACATTTGAAAACTCTCATTTAATGGACAAGGCAACTGGATATTGGCTAATCCCAGCTTGTGTCTAACCCATTCTGGCTGGTGCTGGCCTGTTTATAGTTCCCAACATTTCACACAAAAGTATGAACAACCGACACCTAAGAACACTCATTATAACATCTAATTCAACAAGATCTGAGGGGTTGGGAGTACCTGAACATTCATTCTCTTTTAGCCAAACATTCTCCCTAAAGGGTGGTAGAGGCAGCTAAGAGTGGTGATACCAGAGAGTTCCTGAGTCCAGTGGGGTTAAATTACCCAGAGCCAAAGTGTCCAACCCGCGGGTGGTACGTGTCAGGCTTCCCACTTGTGGTTTCCCACTTGTGGCCGAGAGTGAACAAAGAAAGGTCGTTACAAAATCCTTGCGTTGGGTCCTTTTTTCTTCCCTGCTACCACGGGTTCCTGTGGACAACTGTAGGAAAATGGGTTCTAGACACAAGCTGTCAATGCAGGGTTCCTTAAAGAAGCCGGAAAGCTTTCTTTGTGTGTAGACTAGAGTTGATCTGGCTTCCTCTCACTCCTTCTTGAGAAAAGATGGAAGATTTACTGCACACAGAGCCTGCCTTCCATAGATGCATGGCAGGTATGTGTCAGGGTTGTGTTTGTGTGTGTGTGTGTGTGTGTGTGTGTGTGTGTGTGGTTTGTGCTGGCTAAAATCAAACCAGAAAGGAGCAGACAGCTTGGGGAACAGGGAGGACCCAAAGGATTCAAGGCTGAGAGGAGGTGAGGGGACTTAGGAGGCACAAGCAATGCAATCAGACTGAGAGAAGAAGGGGGAGGTTCAACATATCAGCAGGTGCCTGCTTGTGGGCCCGGGAGGACCATGAAGGCAGGAGTCAAGGTCAGCTGCACTCTCACAAGCACTCTCCCAGCGCCAGGGCACCAGAGGCAAACTCATGACCTGTGCAGCATCTCATCTAGATATCTCTGCCCAAAATAGACCCTTTCTTTAACTCGAGACATTAAATATATGCACCAGTGACTCGGATCATATCTGAGATTGGAAAAATCTGAAACCTCAATACAAACCAGTCAGCTTGCATTTGGGGCCAAATAGTGCTGCCATAAATTTTTTTGGAAAACCCAAAAACTCCTCTGATATGAAAACATGAATATGGGATTATATAATCAAGGTCACAGAAGTCATTAAAAAAGCAATGTGCTAATTCCAAAATAATGTTGTCATTATTAAACAATGTCATGAGTTTTAAAGCATTTAGCGCAGGCCTGGTACTTAGCCATTACCCTCCCAAACGGCAGCTGTTGCCAGTGTTCTATGCACGGATCAGTAAGGCAGGCCCAGCAAGATTTGTATTTGGAGACCCCTGTGTCACTCATTTATTTTAATAATGCACGGGCTTTTCAGTAATACAAACTCATCGCTTTGAGTTCTGATTACTTCCCAGTGTAGTGTGACCTTTCCCAAATTACCAAAGGCATGTGACATTTCTCCGAACAAAACATGAATCCCCAAACAAAGGCTCCTATAGAAAATGAGATGCCCACAGTATTCTTCCTACCCATCTAGAGTGGTTGCTGAGGGGCCCGCGACCCCTGAGTAGTTCCCTCGTTGAACACCTGGTTGGTCAGTCTAGGCCCTGCCCTCCGCACCCTCTCCACCCTCCCCACTCTCCTGCCTGTCCTGTTAGAAATGGGATTGACCTTGTGCATCTTGCCCTGGAGAGGTGTGTTTGACCACCAACAGATGGCCCCTGATGCCGGGCCCCGGTCACAGGCAAGAGGACCGGCAGCTTCTGGTCCACGCTGGGCTGATTGCTGTGCACAGCCCTTGTGAACATTTCAATTGCTATGTCTTTGCCAGGGGGTACTTCTCCACCCCCAGGCTCTGCATCCTGGCAGGAGCTCATTCACTTTGCTGCCTGGGAGTATAAACTAACCCTGTTTCCTCCTGCCTGGCCTTACATCCAGCACAAGGATGCAGCAGTGCAGCCCAGGCAGACCAGGAGCCCAGGCCTGCATGAGCTGCTGGACTCCCAGCATCAGCTCAGCCCCGAGGATGCAATGCCCCTCCCCCTTCCCCCCACTACTGTCCTGGCCCCACACTCATGTGGCAGCTCCAAGACCAGGGTCACAGATGCCACTTCGGTGTCTACGTGACAGCTTAGCATCAGTGTATGCAACTTGTTGAAATATTCAGAAAAAAGTACAGAAAAACAGCCTGACCCTTTAAGAAATCACAGCATTGAAGTTTAAAACTGCAGGAGACCTGCTATGATGTTGTAATGTGCTTTAAATCTTTTCTGTACATTGGAGCTGCTTTAACAGCTCTGATTTTCAAATTTGGAAAGAGGAATTAAATTACTTCACTTCCCAGAAACTCTCCAGACTGATCAGGGAATAAGGTCAACTTTCCCCCCTCTTTTTCTTTCTTAAGCCCAAGAAAAATGACCTCCCTTGGGTCTCCTTTAGTGGCCTCAGGAGAATTTTTTTTCCTTTGGTGACTACTTCATGAGTGTAAAGTTCATGAGTGTGAAGTTCACGAGTGTGAAGTTTATGAGGGTGTGACATTCATGAGGGTGTGAAGCTCATGAAGGTGTGACATTCACGAGGGTGTGAAGCTCATAAGGGTGAAGTTCATAAGAGTGAGTTCATGAAGGTGAAGTTCATGAAGGTGAAGTTCATGTAGGTGAAGTTCATGAGGGTGAAGCTCATGAGTGTCCTTTCCTGGACAAGGTTCATTTTAGCCACTGTGTTCACAGCACCCAAAGGAAGCTGAGAAGTGGGCACCATTATCTTGATAAGAAACACTCTCAAGAAGGTGCACCCCTGCACAAGGTCACAAAGGAGCTGCTGAGCTTGACCCAGTTCACTGAAGAGAGGAGCGTAAGGAGACTCTTCTGCAACCCCATGTAGTCACACTAAGAAAAGGCAATATCAGAGTCACACGTGGACCTCAGAGTCCAGTGGACCTCAGAGTCACCAGGGGGAGAACAGGGCTCATGGGGACCTGCAACAATACAGAGTCTGTGGTGGGGGACTGGGGGAAGGAAAAGAAACAGTGTTGTATCTCTGTGGAAAGGATCTCTAACTTTAGTCCTGGACTCAGCTTCAGCACAAGGCCTCTTGAACCCAAGAAAGCATCAACACATATTTCATATGTATCTTGTCAAGGTGCTGGCCCGTCACAGACCAGGAAAGATACAGACACAGGCGCCCCTACCTCCTTCAAACTCTGTCTGGCAGTTCCCCGAGGTCTCGTTCAAGCTCTCCTCCTCGTTGATGATGATGTTCTCAATATCTTTCATCGTCAAGTGGTCCCGGAAGGCATGATAGAGGATGTGCTTCAATTCTTCCAGAGTTATTCTTTGCATGTCAAACTGTGGAGAGAGAAAAGGGTGAGAGGGTGTCAGGAGAACTTAGCTTGGGGCATGAGCAGCAAACCCAAATCTACTCTCCAATGGAAACCTGTCCCAGCTTTCAGTCAGATGAGCAGTTTTCCAGCATGTTCAGCTCCAAGCACAATTGTGAACTTGCAGGGACTTACTGGGAATACAGTGAGTGTAACATAACCCCCTCAAATGAGACTCTTGGAGAAAAAAAAAATGCCACCTGCTTGTGTGGTTTCCAACTCATCCAGCCATCTGCTGTCACCCCTCCACACCTCGTGCGCCTTGGAGTTGTGTCACACTTCAGACAGTGCGTATGTCTCTAGAAAAATGTATCAGCTCCAAGAAGCCAGCCCTCCCCACTTTACTTTAAGAACGTATCTTGATCTAACAAGAGTAGACGCAAGTTCAAAGCAATGTTTATGAGGAAGAGCAGCCGAAGGGAAGGGGTAGCACTCTCAGCCGGGTGCTTCCCTCCCAGGGGGCTCACATTTTCACACTATCCCACCTTCTTAAAGACAATGAGAAAATCACAGATGCCACATCCAGCGAAAAGTACTGCAAGTCACTGTGTGGCTAATCATCGGTTCTTGCCCCACTCTCCCGAGCCCCGGGTACCCCCCCACACACCACAGCTCTTCCTTCTGCCTGGTCCCAGAGCAAGGATGAAGTAGAGAAGACGCACCCTTAACCCCAGTGAGGAAAAGTAACATGAGGGTACATGCCTGGTGTCGCCACTAGTCAGAGACTGGGGTTCATGTGTCAAGATACTGTGACTTGGTGTAAGTCAACCACACAGAAGAAAATAGAGAGGGTTGTGGTGCGACCATACAGGGATTCCATCATGGGGTGCACCATAGCAGGGTCGGGCAGAGGGGCGCAGAGGCTGAACAGGTGACAGCACATTTACATTATAGCAAAGCACTTGGTAAAAGCATTGTTTGCAGGGGACAGATAGACGCTGAATGAGTTTGTGGCTCTAGGGAAACACTTTGGGAAACAGCAGGTATTGGCTGTCACTGGGTACATCTAACAGGGCGTGGCCAGAAAGAGATGCGTTCAAGAAAAAACTGGTTGGTCGGGAATAAACGCAACTGAAAAATTCCTGGTCTCTCAGAGTTGTGGGCCCTCCCTAGCGGTGCAGCACTATGAAGCTATTGCAGCCACTACAGCACAAGTTCAAGCCCTGGCCAGGAAGGTGACCCACATGGCACAGCAGACCTCTCCCCCCCACCCCCGCTCCCCTCAGCAGTGTATTTGAGTACATCTACATGTCCAGCTCCCCACTCTGTCTCTGGTGAATGCCCTCACACTGCCACACCTCTGGCCTGTACCCCAGTTCTGTATGCATAAATAAATAAATAAGAGTTAGTTGTTCCTCATGTCCAACTAAGAGGAGATAAAATTGAAGTGCGCTTTAAATAACAATACAGGCCCACTACAATAAATAAAAAAAACATTCCTTGTTAAAGCCTCTTGTTATGTTAAGTACATCTCCCACTAAGCTGGTTGTTAAATTCTGAGAAAGGTATATCTCAAGAATAGTTGTAGTTTGGGCCTTCCCTGGTGGCACAGTGGGTTAAAGCACAGCACTAAGAAGCTTGAGCCACTTCC